ATCTATCATGACTTGTCTTTCTAACTCTCATCTGCACCTACACACGCGCACACACACACGCAGGTAAATGTATCCTTACGCGCAGTGCATCACCATATCCTCAAGGGTGCTTCTTCTCTCTTGATAAGCGCTGGAGGTGAGGTGATTCTGGACTGGGGCTCTGTGCCTCCAAGGTGAGAGCAGGTGGGAACAAGCTGGACTCTGAGTTGCTCTGCCCCCCGTTGCTGTCTGCGGAACCCTAGGGAGCTGCCCCACGGCACCGCAGCACACGGGAGTTCCCTTGGGCTGGGTTATTTCCTCTCAGCATCCCTAGTGTGAATTCTATTTCAGCAGTTTTCATATTGAAGCCTCATTTTTCTGGCAGAGGCCACTCTATTGATCTGCATCTGTAAAGGACCAGCAGTGTGAGGGCAGTCTTAAATAATGCATTGGAGTTGGCTCCCTCTGCTTTCAGTGAGCACCAGGGAAACGCTCTGTGGGGCTGCCACGGAGCCCTCTGGGCTTGAACTATCTCCCTTGTCTCATCCTCTCCTCCCTGGGGACAGAAAACCAGGCAAACTCAAGATGCTCAGAGTCCGGAGAGGAGATGCTGTTATTTATTGTCCAGAGGTAATCCTTATTACTGAGAGGCTGCTTCTCTTGTTTTGAGAGACAATCTTTGATCATGGGCGTTATTTTACTTATGCCTTCGCGCATCTGACAACCAGTGGCACACTCTTGCCATCCCTCCTCTGCCAGTGAGATTATTTCCCCCTCAGAGCAAAGGCTGCTGGTTCTGAAGGCTCTTGTATCAGGAGCTCCTGGTGCTGACAGCCAATGCTCCCGACTTGCTGGAGGCCCAACTTTGCCAATTACACACCAGCCCTCCCGATTCACCTCCCTGTCCATCCATCGTTGCTGCAAGGAGAAGGCTCACCTAGAGTAAGACAATGAGTCTCCAGACTACCTAATGACTGCCTAATGAGTGTCTAAGCACAGTGCTTTTATTGAATTTTAATTGTCTTCTCTCTGGCTTTGTGCTGTAAAATGAAAAAGGAGAAAACATCACATGTAATGAGGGTAGGTGATTAAAAAGTAATACCTAAGAGACACCCAGGCACTTGTGCAAAAGACCACAAGAATAATGTAATGAGAGGAAGCAATGCTGCCATGTGCCTGCCCCCTCTTTGGATAAAAAGTACATTTTTACAGTTGTTAAAAATCAAAATTGTTTTCAGTGTGATCTGGCAGAAAATGGAATATTGTATATCAGTGAGCTAATCAAAGTTATGCTGAATGAAGAACTGGTTAATTACCACTGTATGGCAAATCCAGTCCCCATCACCAGGTCAGCACAGATGGGTTTTTCAGAGCTTGCTCTCTGGCATTCTCTGCTCAGATTTTGTTCCCCCTCACTGACTGCACATGCATCACTTGGAGCAGCGCACAGCGCAGAAGGCCCAGATAAAAGGAGACAAAACGAGCCCTAAACCCATCAAGTGCCCAAACCCATGCCTGGCTCCGGGTGCCAGCCCTGCTGCTGTGCCCTTGCAGGTGAGCGGAGGCCTCTAGAACCAAGGAAAGCACAGCACAGTTTCTGGTAACTCTTAATGAAACATTTTTGGCTGTAATGTTTTGGTAAAGAAAAGAAACCCTTTTTTTTATCTCTCTTTTTTTTGTGTATTCATTTTACTTTAAGAAGCTTTCTCATTCATGAGTTTGAGGGACTGGTGTCCACATCCTTGTCATATCTCAGAAAATTCTCCCTCCAAACTTCTGACAGGCAGGAAGTTTATAGGTACAATTTTTCAGAAGCTTTGGGTGAGTTCTTATACTTTCTATTTATTTATTAACAGCTGTCTCTTAAATGACACCAGAACTGTATTTCTGTCACATCCCCTCCTCTTGCTTTTCTTTCCTTTTTTAAGAGCTGAACTTTTCCTTTACACTTTCCAATTGTTCCCTACATTTTAAATCAGTTTTGAACTTTTGAAATAATTACAGGCAAGAATTCTTCCTAGGGATGAAAGGCAAGCATCAAGCAATGCTTCACAGCAAGACAAAAATACCATTCCGGCTAAAGAGACTCTGCAAAGCAAAACATCAGAGAGACAAGTCAGGAAAAGCGCCAGGTTTTCGGCTACCAAAAGGAGGAACAGGTTTTCAGGATTCTTGCCACGTAACGAAATATCTGAAAGGCTGTAAGAAAAACAGGAGGCATGATTAAGCATTATTCTTAGAAAATAAATCTACTGTATTTTAGTATTATCAATACCTGAATCTAATTCCTTGCCATCAAACCACTTTTTTTATTACTGCGTTTATAATCAGAATAGACAGGAGAAAGGTCATCCTGTTACTGTCATCTAAGAAAATACACAATTTTTCATCTTATTAGTCAAAAGTTTGACAGCAAAAATCTTAAGAGACTAACAGCCTGGACAGATGACTTTGGAGAAAGACACTTTTCTTCAGGATTTATGTCTCTTTTTTTAGAAAAGTGGAAAAGAATTGAAAATGTCTAAAGAGTGAGCTCTGTCAGCTGATTGTGTGAAAATGAGCCTCAATCAAATAGGCTTTGATTTCTCAGAGAGAACAGAGCACTCTTTCGATATATCCATTTGCAATCAAAAAGACTAGACAGATTTGACTTTTTTTGTAAGCAACAGATTCAAGGATTTACAGAAAGCTGAAGCTGTGTTGATTTAATGACAATTCCCATGCATTACAATGAGCAGCGTCCTCACACCCGTGAACATTTCCATTTCTCAGTGGTGGTGAAGCACCAACTCTTTACAGCTACCTGAGGGCAGGGAGAAAGTATTCCCTGTGCAGTGGGACCTGGCTGGGATGAGTCACAAGGTCCTTTCGGAGGACTCGAATGGTAAAACCTCAGCAACTGGTGTACAAGGAGCCTGCTTTTCCCAGCTGCCAACATCTATTTAATTCCAACAGAGCAATGGGGACTCCTACACGAGGAGGTAGAGCTGGCAGTGAGAGCTAAGGGCTGTTGTGGCTGCTCACTGCTAAACGGCTTCCAGCAGTGTTGCGGCCATTTATCCCTGTTCCTCGTGTCTCTGTCACATCCTTCTCACAGACCTGAGTTGCTGTCACTGAAGGCTGGAAGCAATTTACCAGTGCCACCACCTACGCGCAAGTTGCTAATTATAGACCCAGAGCAGGCGGAAGGAACTGGGTCTGTTATGAATCTGTTGTGATTAATGAGCGAGCAGCCAGGCTGAGGGTTTCCAGTTCTGCTCTGTATGTCGGCGGCAGATTTGCTTGTACCCTGGCTCTGTTTTCGGAACCAGCATGGCAGTCCTGCTGGACAGGTATGTGTTTCTGGAACTGGGATGCATGAAGAGAGACACAGGAGCTCCAGATGAGCAGA